GTATTGACATGATACCACAACTTAATATATAACGAGTTTCTTTTAATACATTTTATGTTTCTATAATTTATAGATAAAATATAATTATTATTGATGATACCTATTGCATACATATTTACCTTTTTATTAGGTATTTTAATTCATATTACTAGCTATTTATATATTTAAAAAAAAAATGAACTTAAGTCAAATGCAATTTACCAAACAACTTTTAACCTAATTGAGTTAAAAAAAAATTAATTATTAATTATTAACTTTAAACGTTTTAAAATATTTTACATAAATTGAACTTAACACAATGAAAAGTTATCATTAACATGCCCTGGTTTGCATTTGTCCAATCAAATTTCGAGAGTCTCAATGTGGAAAACACTTTCCTAAACCATCGTCTAAGACAATGAAATATTCAAATACGATAGGTGTAATTTCAGAAGTTGCTTGTGCAATAGATAGATGATGATGGAAACATCTCTAATTTTTGTTTAAGATATATTTGTAACTATGTTTCTTTTAAACCATGACACATTAAGTTCTTAGAAGAAGAAAAATATTAGGTAATAGCTGAAAAAATAACCAGTAGATATACTAAAATTGGTTTATTAACAGTTTTTTAATTTATTATAATAATCATCGTATTCATGATCTGAAATATGAACGAGTATATACTCTTTTAATACTATGTTAAAGTCATTATAGAGTATTAACCTTTTAGTTTTCCATGTTTCATATGCATATAGATTATAGAAATAACTCATAATTATCTTTAAATACGATGAGMATTTTTTTAATAATCTCAACAATATATGTTGCAATTAGCTAACATTTTTTATTCCTAACAGGACTCTGACGCTCAGATTTTTAATCCGAGAATTCCGTAATATATAATAATAATAATGTGGTTCGCTAGGGAAACTTCAGGATAATATTTTAGTAATACAATTCACATAAAATGGTAGGTTCATAATGTTGCCTAACGATGTCTGTGGGCGACAGGGTAAAACATCAATAATTCGGAGGGTCATCTTTGATAAAAAAAATAAAAAATAAAAATAATAATAATAAAATGAAAGCAAAAAAAAATGTTCTATTCGGTATCAGAATTTCATTMTTTTCGCATTTTAAACTACCTATTATATAATCTATACATTTTTTTAAGAAATAACATTYATTATTCTTATTTACAATCCATACAAATGTACAAACAGTAAATTATATGACATATATTATAATAGGTATTGAATTATCAACAAATAAAATTATGGTTTTCTACTCGTGTTAATTAGAGTCCACTCAGTTTCAATAATCAACTAAGGATTTTATATTAATTTTTGTTGAAATGTAGTTAATTATTCAGTTGTCGTTTATTTTTTTAACGTTATAAAAATACCCAAATATCCATCACTGAATTTTTCTCCTCGCGTCTTCAAGTCACTGTATATACGTTGTTATTCTCATACACATATTTGTGCTGTATATACAGACTGTATAACTATGWAAATGATAAGTGAAAAAAATATAGTCATAGTTATACGCGTAGTTACTATTTTAATGAATACATTGATTTTACAGAAATGTATCTAATTGGACCATAAACTTCAGCTTATTGACTACATCATCGTTTGGAAAAAAATAACATCTACTCAATGAATAAAAATGATTTCTAATATTCAAAATAGGAAACTTGCATAATCTTACTTTCTAAATTAAAAAGTTTTTTTTTATTTTAAGATAAATTCTCGGCGCTAAAAAGTTAATGGTAAACGGTCATTCGTATGATATGTATGTAAATTAACATCATGCAATATTTAAATATTTCACAAAGCCAATTATAATATCAAGTCCAAAAAAAAATAAATCGTTCTATATTTCAATTTACATGGAACATTAGTTTTATATCTCACTATAAAGAAAAATACATATCCGCTAACTTTCATGTTCCRTAGATTATGGTTCGTTAAAATTTATCTAAATTTTAATGCATATGTATGAAGGATCTAAGTAAAGTTGTCATGATTTAATAACATATTATGTTAAACAAAATCAGATATCTACTATAAATATAATTGTAGAATTCAAAATTTATTTTATTTTATGGTTCATGCTATATATTTATAAGGTATTATGAATAAAAACATAATGTACTATTGACTTTAAGTATATTTATCATATGGCCTATATCAGTAACGAGGCAAGCTTTTTTAGCACAATAAGCAAAGATTTTAGTCATCCCGACCATCCAATATTGTATTACATAACATGAACAGTGTTCATTATTTATATAATATAATATAATATATTTATATTATATGTACATTTTACACTGTAATTGATTTAAATAAATATTTTAATATAACACATTAGTACAGTACCTACATTGAACACTATAGGGAAAATGTAAATATATTATATTAAATAAAAATCATTCATCGCTTTACGTTAAATTACATTATGTTTATTATTTAGTTACTTATCATTCATTTAATAACAGTCTATTTTTTTTAAATATTAAAAATTAGGTAAAGCATATTTGTTAATATTTTTTTCTAGATATTCAGATTATCTCGTTGCTGATTATTATTTTATTTATATTATTGTTTAATTACATGTAGTGAATACGTACATGTCAAATATTAATCCCACCCACAAAAAACCTGAAGGGTTCTCTAGACCCTCCTCTACACCACTTTCAATTCACCACTTATATATTTTTTAATATTAAAATGTTTAGTGTTCTAATATAGATTCGGATTGGATATAGCATTATATAACTAAAATTATTAGCTGATGATCAAAATTTATTTATGCGAAGAAACATACAAATATATAATAATAATTCAAAAGCAGATTTTCAGTTTTTGTATACCCGAGTATTTTTATGTCCCTCTTTTGGGTTATGTGTATGTTTCGTTATTTTATTATTTTTMCCTCTCAATCCCTGTTCACTACGTTTCGACCGTATATTTTGGAATTACATTTATTTTTGCAGTTATTTTTCCCTTTCTGTTTGGACACTCCCCAATATTATTCTATTACTTTGGCTACAAAAATCGATTTATTTCGTATGTATTTAAATACATATTTCATATTTTGGTAGTCGGTATATTTTATTACATAATATACACTTAAAATACATTTTCATGAAAAAATACGTGTGTAGACAGTTTATACGCATGTATAGGTTCTATAATTCAATATTATAGTAGTATTAGATAGTTGTCAATTATATAAAATATTAAATCCTACACTTTAATACTATATATCAATTTGATTTTAAATAATGATATAGGATGGATTGTAGCGGATTACTCTAATAGTTTCCAATCTTCCCCCCAAAAAATTACATTACTTTGAGTATTTGATAAAATTATCTATTTTTTTTATAATAATGAAAATATTTGTTATAATTTTATTTTATTATTAAATTCGATATAAATTTAGGATTAGATTCTATTTTAATATATTTTAGGAATTTATATTTATATTTTTGACTGGAAATAAAAACAGTTTAATATGTAAACAATACAACAACTAAACTGGTGTATGATATTTAAATAAAAATAAATAAATGTCTGTATAATATAGAGGATTAAATCGTGGGTGTGATCGCAATATTATATTACATTTTACTGTTTTGTCTTTTTTTTTGGGAGTTTGTCATAATATATTAGTTACTACATTATTACAAAAGTTTACTGAAGTACTAAGACTGTTACTTTGATATGCCATTCTTCTAAATTTAATTAAGTTTAAAAACATTTTTCGATATTTTTAAATATAAATATTATACAATCATCACTTTACTTATATTATAAAAACAAACCAAGAAATTCTTTAATATTGTCAATGTCTAATTAGTATAAAGTTTTAAATTTTTATGTTTCTATAAAAGTTCTAGGTCCATTGAACAACAATTTTCTTATGATGGTTTATTGTATTTTTAAAAGCCTAGTTTTATTGGTTGATTGTAAATATTGATCAAAAAAAAAATAGAAATATTTTTTTAAAGTAAATATGTTCATATCCAAAGTAATATGCAGTAATTATGTTTGCTGTCAAATTAAAAAAATTGTATTGAATAAAAAGTTATCAAACTTGTCGTGTAAAAGAAATAACATGTTTGATTATTTTATTTGCCTTTTAAATTATTGTTTTCAGTACAAAAAGCACATGTTAAAAGTAATAAAAATGTTCAAGGTATTAAGGAGATCTGATTATTTTTATTTCTTAGTCTATTAAAATGTGAGATTTATTTTTAAAAAACTAAGTACTCCTCAAATCGACTCCAAAATCTATACGGCGCTTTACTTATTAAAAAAAATACAATTTTATTGAAATTTAATTAATTTGTTTGTTAGTTTGCTGGTTTGCTTGTTTTTTTTTTTGAAAGATGTAATTTAGTTTTGAATTCAAGTTTTATAGTTAAAAAAATTAAAATAATACAAGTTTAAGACCTAATAACATAACATAGGTTTTAGCATGTATTTTTTAATTAAATATAAATTTACAAAAGAAAAACAACTTTAGRAATTCAACGAACCAATGAATGGATCAATATTTTCTGTTGTACCATTTATATTGTACATTATAATGTTYGTATTTAAATTAAATTACAAAGGGACTTTACAGAAGGCATAATTATTAAAAATCCACTTGTTAAAAATAAAAAATAAAATCTATAATAAAATCCAAAATCCATAAAATGTAATATTTAATATTATTGTGCATTCAAAAAAATTTGGTTTGCAATATATTACATATTATTATCCTTAATATTTTATAAGATACTAAAGTTGAAAAATTCTACTTGTATACCACTATTCCAATAGCGATGTCACAATTAAAACCATAAWAATCGTGTTATAAATCATTATTATGGTTATTGTTCTTATTTTCAAATATAATGTGTACTGAATTGATTTTTATCTATGATTATTTATCATTAGTCATGTAATGTGAAAAAAATATGAAAAAATGTTATTTTTGATCAGTGTTTGACGTACCACGCAGTCACCCAGGTTGGCGACGAGACAGGATATCCGGCTGGACGCTCCCGTCTGCGCGACAACGGTCGACGAGTTTTCTGTCAAAAATTTCGGTTTGAGTAATGTCCGTTGGAGTTGCGTGTCGTCCAGTGCGCTGCTTTGCGTCACGTTCAATACTTCTGTTGTGGTCAAGGTACCAACCATGGTAGTCGAGTTGGACGTGTTCCGCGGTGGCAGCACCGTAGAGATACCACGCAAAGGAGCCAAAGGTTTTTCGACGGGTTTGCTTCCAGTTTCCGGTACTGAGTTTTTTTTCCCATCACCTGAAACAAGACAGTGAAGAATAAGATTATTAKAAATAATTTACTACAGGCAGTCATATAATGGTGTCCACGCAAAAAATATTAAGAGTTAATCTTTCATTAAAATATGAATTCATTTTTTAACTCTTTTTTATAGAGATCAATTCTTACGTGAGTATTAATACTCTGTTATGTTCTATAAAAAAAAACCTGTTCCATATATTTTAATATTGCATATTAAAATAWTTTTTTTGTATATTATTCTACTGGTCATTTCCCAACRTCGGATACACTTTAATAGTTTATCGTCACTATTAGGCGGAAGATAATAATGATTATATTTCTTAGATTGTACACAAAAAACGTGTATTTTACTCTTACACTCGTACATAAATATATATATATAAGGTAAAAATAGAATATTCATTATGATCCCCAGAATTTTAAATGTCCACGAGGTAGTATATTGCAGTGTAATTAAACTAGGCAGTTAAATATCTATTAGTTAAGATTATGATATGTACTATGTAGGTATACTAGTTACTTAGAAAATATAATATTAATTATTAGAGTTATGAAATTTGGAAAATATAAATTATTTTATCTCGTTTCCGATGGTTCAGTCTAATAATATTTATATAATGCAAAACATTTTATTCCTGTAAAAGAGTAGTAAAAAAAAAATCAAAGGCATTTTTACTTTTCAATCATAATTTTACTTCTGTAACTTCAGAGTAGAAGCGATTTATATTTTATTCATAAGACATGATATATAATGAACGTATAATATATAGATTATTATTATTATTTTATTTTAATATTTGCCGTGCCAAACCGCAATACAACAGGTGGACTATAACTACTATGATTTACTGAAACGGCACGCGCATTTCATACACATTTATCGCGTAGTTTAACAGTGTAGGGTTGTTTATTCAATGAAATATCAATCAAAACGAAATTATTGTGGTTCGGTACGTTCGGTAGTGGCAATCGTGACGAAAATGTTGCAAAAAGCAACTCAATGTATGGATGTTTGAACTAAGTTCTCGAACCGTATAAATGAATATTGAATATATGTATGCGAATGATTTCGACAGTATTCCAAGACATATTATAATCTAGCTTCTCGGAATCTACTGAGCCATTGTATTTTTGTTTACACACACGTGCGTTCGCACACATACACACACATAAACACATGTATATTGTTACGTATACTTTTTTGATTCATGTAATGCAGTAAAGTTGTATACAATGTTTATATACGTTCACAAATCATAATGCGTACTACGGAAAACGCCTCTGGATATTTATTTGCGGTGTGTTAGTTTCAAGTGTTACATTCAACGTTGTGGATTTAGTATGACAATACAAATTCTATGCAATTAAGATTCCATTAACGACATTAAATCTGCTCTTCGACTTGTGCGATTAAAATAATATATAGTATGTACATTGTACATATAGGTACTTTAAAAGTACTTGTACAATGTAATAAATATATAAATTACATCATTCATGCCTCAAGTGATGTATCTGAAGTTCGACTTAGGTGGGAAAGATATGGTGGACGTCCCATGTAGGTAGTACGCAAAGTTCTTGACATTTTTTATCAACATTATTATTATCGTTTTTATTTCATTTATTATTGGGTCGACAATCATATTAGCTACTATAGATTATATTTGTCTTCCCTCGAATTCACATCTGGATCACTATTMAKGTAACAGTGTTCAATTCGGCAACGTTAAAATAAACGTTTCGTAATGTTATTCGTCGAAGTATGCGCATGAAACATATTTATTTCCAGATTATGAAAAAAATCGCTGACGGTTTTTCTTTTCAATAGAGTATTGTACCGCAGAAACCATTTTGAATCGCACAGTTATATTATACATTATTATTATTATTATTATTATTTTATTGCAAGTACAGAAAATGTGTGTTTGGAAAAATGTGGTGCGGCATCGTATAAATGGATATTAATGTATCGATGGCCTAGTGAACACTCTAACACGGATCAGGAAAAAAAACGTACGATCCATAATACGACGAGTTTATATATTTGGCTTGGGACCGTCTCTTTCTACTGTTGAGAAACGTATTTTACATACGTATGTAGTGGTGGCGTGGTGAAAATGTAAATGAAAAACTAGTGACGGTTCTTATTTAYCCAAACCGATGTATACATAAGGATTTTTTTTTCTCTCTTCATTCGTATAAATTTGACGTCAAAAAGTCGCGTTACACTGATAGTGTGAGAGTGTGACAGGCGGCGTACAATCTTCCAGGGAAATGTTAGTTTTCTATTCCCTCGCAGAGTGTGAGTATCGATACAAAAGTTACGATGCTCTTAAAATACACGGGGGTGCACTTGATTAATTCGAGGTCACCTTAAAGAAAAGAAGGGCAATGGAGATTGCAGATTTATGTTCATGAAGTATTTTTAAACAGAGCACCAATGCTAGATCGATATATAATTAAAACTTGAAGCAAAAAAAAAAATAATACTCATTTTACCGCTATATTGAAGAGTGTAGAGAATTCACTAATATACTATTTTACTGATTGACGTAAAATAAAAAAAATAGAAACTAATATAACATTTTTAGTTATTAAAACGAAAACATTAATGTACCATTTTATAAACCATTATTTTGTACTCTGCATGTGATATGAACAAAATAAAACTATTAAATTATATTATATGACTTTTGTCGACGAATATTTTGCATATTGTTATTTTTAGAAACATTTAACATTCAATGAACCATATAAAATGCACTCAAAGTATTATTAGTGAGTAACATTCATTATATATGTTTCATATTATGATTCTTTCATAATTAATTTTTCATTTTTTCTTCAACACCCAAATACTTATTGTAAAAAAAAAAATGTACACATTTTATTTATAATTTACCGAAAAAAACTAATTTTTCTTATGTTAAACTAGAGTTTAATTTTTTGTTAAATAAAGTTTAACAGTTTTGATAAATTTATTGTATAATAACCAAAAATTGTACACTTTGGTCTTTTTTTGAATTCCAATGGGCAGTACCATTTTATAACAGTGTAACCTAATAACTAATTTGGTAAAGCACTATATCAATATTCCTATATCATAACCAATTGTCCTTGGTAACATAAAAATAAACTAAATTAATTTGTAAATTATTAAATGTAGACACACAACCTATATTTTATCATACATTTTTTATTCAAACAATTTCGATTTTTTAATTTAGGTTGTATAAACATATATAATCAATAAGTAATGAATTTTTAATTACATTTTTTATGTATGCAGCTATGCATTGTTTCAATCAGCATAATATTAATATCGCATATCAGCATATCCTTGAATTAAACTATAAAAAAACTGTCAGTATATGAAAAACCATGAGTTTTATTCAATAAATTTTGTTAGAGAGAATAATATAGAATACACAATTTAAATACTATGGAAAAGTAGTTAATGCTCAGGTTTATACAGATGATTAGAATGAGAGTCAATGAAATACTTTTTTTTTAAATAGACTCAACACAATTTAAAAAAGTCGTAGATTTCGCTCTGCTGTACAGTAGCCAGTAGGTTACTGTAATGGATGGAATTAAATTTGAATCCAATGATATTATACGTATAGTATATTATATAGTATCATTGTATACGAAAAACGATTTTGAGCGAAGACGGTTTATCAGTCTAGGATATATTATATATTATTAAAAATTTTCAAATCTTAGGTTTCAAAAGAAAATTTTTTATGAATTTTCTAGCTTAAAATAATTTGCGAATTTT